CCCCCGCAGGAAGGCGAAACATGAGGCGCCTGGGCCTGACTCCATCGTTAGGTGGCACACAAGGGCTGGCGCCCGCTTGGTGGAGGTAGTGACGGCAGAGCGAAAAGGTAGGCAACTCCGCCGGGGCAGCCGGATGCGTGCACCGGGGAATGAAAGGTCCCGCTCGCTGGTGCAGATGGGGTCCTGCGAGGGCGGTGGCGTGCGCGAGGGGCCTACTGCTGCGCCCAGGGCTGGCGCGAGCTCGCGGCCCGCCTAGAGTCCCCATGGCTTGCCCGCCGAGAGGCACCGTCGTCCCATTGACCTTTGTTTTGCCTTTGGTTGGGGCACCTTTACCCTTAGCGCGGCTGGAGAACTTGTTGCGGACAGCTGGCCACTTGACCTGGAGCTGCACTGCCTCGTCCCTTTCCATTGGGTGGAACAGATGTCACGCCCCAAAAAAATATCCGCAAGACCCAGTATCCTGCTTGGTGGGGTCTGCGAAAATGTAACAAGTCCTGGTGGGGTGCTTGTGCGTCCACTGGTGCCAAATCCCGCTGAAGTAGTCCCCGAGCCCCTCACTGGTCCCCGTTCACAATGTCGGCATGGCCCTCGTCACGGAATGGGGAGAGCTGAGCCTGTTCCTGCAGGGTCTTGTACATGCGCTGGCCTGCGCGTGGTCGTTTAGGTCCTGCGAGGGGGCCGACCGTGCGTCTGCACAAGGGGGGCAGGGGGCCGACCGTGCGTCTGCGTAGGGGCCTGTAGTCGGCAGGGCCGCCCGCACCCTTGCCACCCGCATCGCGCGGTGGGGGACTTTCCCCTGGTCCGTCCGCTGGTGAGGTGGGACTGCAGAAGCTGCAGCCCACTGCGGGGCTGCGGGTAACCTCTATGGGCGGGGCGGGTGGATCCGAGCTAGGGGAAGGGGTCAGGGCAACCGCGGTTCCCATTCTTATCGCAGGGGCCGAGAGGCCGGGGGCGGCCTCAGCCTCGTGGGTCTCAACCGCGGAGGTGTCGGAGACGGTGTCACTGCGGACCGCCGGTGCGGTTCTGCTGTCGGTGGGTGAGGGCCCCGATGCTATGACCCTGCGTGGGAGAGAGGTGCACCGGGACAGTGCCTTTGCTGCGGGGCCTGCGGCGCTTGAGCTGCGCCGTGCCGAGCGACTTCCCGTCGGGGAACGCGGGCTGGGCCTGGCGGAGCGCCGCGTGGGCGGCGAGCGGGAGCGCGCTGACGGAGCCCAGTCAGGCGGATCCGAGGATGGGGCCCATGACAGTGCGGAACTCGGCGAGTGGGGAGCGGCTGCCGGATTGTTGCCACCATTCGTTCGCGCTGTGCTCCTTGGTAGGGGCAGCGCCCAACTGTCTGCATAGGTCCTGGGTTTCTTCGAGAGGGCAGTCCTGGGCCAGTTCGCAGAGCATCCCTGTGGTCTGCAAGTCGGCGTCGACTTGGCTCAGATATCCCACGAGCGCATCCAACGTGTGCCGGAGAGGGGAGCGGCCACACAACGGGCCTGTGTCGTTGGCATGCAGGGCCCTCTTATCGCTTAGCTGGTTGTCGGGGGGGTTGACGATAAGGTGTACAACCACGCGAGCGGCAGCAAGCCGATTGCCGCTACAGCATAGATCAGCGGGGCGAAAGTCCGGGGGAACCCTGTCGCCGTAGACCAGCTTCAGAGGGGGCGGAGTGAGCAGGGCGCCCACCTGTCTGGCGACTCGGCGCCCCGAACGTCTCCGTCGTGCTTGTTTGCGAATTCCTTCCAAAGGTCGTCCAGGGATTCGGATGGGTCGAGGTCCCACAGAAACTCGACCAACGTTGCCTCAAGAAACGTCGCAAATACGGCGTAGGCATGGCCCTAACACGGCACTAGCGTGCCAGTACCATAGGAGCAACATAGCAATTCGCCGGCCCAACGGGCCAGGGCGTGCTAAGATCTCCGGTAACTGGTTAACAGTATTAACAGTATTTCTAGTTCGCGCGCGCGGAGCGGCCCCTGGGGGTCCCCCGGCGAAAAGTACCCCGACCAACGCCCCGTCGCCGCCCGACCGCCGCCCGACCAAGTCTACTCAGAAATGGTTTTCCTTCTGGGTGCGGCCTCTCAGGCTCCCCAGAGCGCGCTCAGAGTGCCCCAAAAGGCCCCCAAGACTGCCCAAGAGGCCCCCGAGACGCCCAAAGAGCGCTCGAAGACGCCGAAGATGACCCCAAGACGGCCCAAAAGGCCCCCAAGACAGCCCAAGAGGCCTCCAAGACGCCCCAAGAGCCTTCCAAGAGGCCTCCGAAGAGAGCCCCAAGAGGCCAAAATCGTTGATTTTCATTGTTTTTTCGATGTTTTTTGTGTTCTGGCTTTTTCGGCTTCCGGACGCTCCAAGACGGCCCAAGAGGCCCCCAAGACCGCTCCAAGACGGCCCACGAAGCTCCCAAGACGGCGCCGAAACGACCCAAGAGAGCCCTCAAGACGGCCCAAGTGCCGCCCAAGACGGACCAAGAGGCCCCAAGACGGGCCCAAGAGGGACTCAGGAGGGATACCGAGAACTCAAAAATGGAGCCCTCCGTCCCAGAAGGCGCCCAGGAGGTCCCAAAGAGGCCCCAAGAGGCCTCCAAGAGGCCCCAAGATGTCGCCAAGAGGCCCCAGGAGACTCCCAGGAGGCCCAAAAGAAGCCCCAGAAGGCTTCAAACATGTCTCCCAGGCGCCCCCGAACGGCCTCTCAACAGACCCCAAGAGGCCCCCCAAAGAAGCATCTTGACGACGACTCTATTTCGCCCCATCGAGAGACGACCCCCAGGGAACTGCTTCACCATCAAAACTCCCCACGCAACGCGTCCGAACGACACCCGCCCCCAAGAGCGCAACATGGGCAACGAACACACAGACAAAAACCAGCGATGCCATATCACGGGCCGGAGGAATGAGCGAAGCGATTCAATAACATTGCATGGCCAAGGAAAAGGAAAAACCGAACAACCACACCAGAAGCCAGCCTAGACTACTCTCCTAGCCTGAGGCCACGTTTCTCTTCAACTTTCTTGCATGGGCTAGCCTCTTGACTGGATTGTCACTGCGGGTCGTTTTCTGATACCCCCAAGGTCCGAAACAGGCCTGCGGATACGGTGACGCCGGAGGATAAAAAAGAGAAGGTTTCAGAAGGTCAAGGCGGAAGCGACGGAATCACGGCGGGAAGAACGAGAGGGTATGTGCGTGTGTGGAAGGAGCAGGACAGGGAAAACAACATGTGGAGTAATGAGTACTGGTAAACAGGGAGGCATGACATAATAATGGATCGCGGGAGAAGAGATCGGAGGATCTCAAACATTCGCGGGAAAAGAGACGATATGGATCGCGGGAGAAGAGAAGAGATGGATCGCGGGAAATTCTCCCGACACACAAACAATCTGTGAGAGGAGGTTGCAGCGAGGCGGGGCATGGAGAGGTGGGAGGATGCGGGGGTCGGCAAGGAAATCTGGGTTGAAGGAGCAGACGTATCACCAGCTGTTTTGGGACGGGCCAAAATAGCCAGGCAGTCCACGATCTCAGCCGAAATCGGAGGCCTCCGAGTCTGACTCGCCGCCAGCACGCGAGGCTCGAAGGGAGGCTTCCCCGAGGGACTCTGCCCAGGGCCGGTCCTGCCCCACGAGGCCGAGAACGAATCCACGGGGCGAGGCCGCCCGCAAAGCCACAGCCCACAGGGCCTGAAGCGTCCTGGGGGGGCCCGAACAGGTACCCGTGGGAAGGTTGCCCATCCTTACTACGATAGAGGTCAAAAAATGCCCCCCCACAAGAGCCACCCCGACACGCGAAGTCGCTTAGCAAACGCTGCCCAAAGAAGAAATCGAACAGGGCAAGGCCTTCAAAAACGCCCAGGGCCGTTTAGTAAACGCCATAATTCTGGTCCGGGTGATTTTTCCTCCGCTGATACTATGCGGGTCGACTGTACGCTGGTCGAGGTTCAGGCCCACATGGGCCCCCAGGGCCGATGGATCACCAGGACGGGGGAATCGCCACTCCGCACAGTGATCTGTTCAGGGCTAACGTCGGAGAGGGTCCCTGGGATTCGTGGAGCTTTTTGGAAGCATTCGAGAGTTGAGAGGTATTTGAACTATGATGGAACCCTCTGGGGTCGATTTGGGAACTTCTTGGGTCCTCTCGGGCACTCAGGTGCACGAGAATCAGCTCTTTTGGGTGCTCTTCAACATCTGGCGGGCTTCTTGGGTCGTCTCCAAGTAACTCGGCCAGGTGGCCACGGGACACCCCACTACGAGGCCTCAATCAAGAGGTTCGACCACGACTAAAACCTGCGAAGCAAAACACATGCTGTGTGATCTCTCGCCTAAGGATGGCTTCCATATGGCTTCAGATGCCTCAAGATGTTTCCAAATGTCACAGAAACAGCCCCACGACCGCTCGAGGACGCACACCGAATTGCCCAAGAGGGGCCCCAAGATGGCCCAAAAAGGCGCCCCAAGAACCGCAGCAGAAAACTCCCGCAGTTCGTAAAACATCTTCGATTCAAGGACAATATGGCGCCGGAGGCGCCCAGGAGGCTCTGGGGCGTCTTGTTGGCCTCTTGGGCCGTTTGAGCCGCATCGCGAGCTGTCTGAGGGCCCTCGAGACCTTGCACAGAGCGATTCGGGGGTCTCCTCCCGGGGAGACAGAAAACTCGGGTTTGGGAGCTCGGGTTGGCCTTGACGGGGCCTCCAGGAAGATGGCGCGACCCAATTTAAAATGTGACGCGCACTCCCGTCGCAACATATCACGAGAACTGGACCGTCAAAATCCGGAACACACTCGTCAAAAAGCGCCAGCAAGCCTGGAGTTCGGTCGAGTCTTACGTGATTCCCCGATCTTCAGTCGCCTTGACAACAGTCTGAACGCTCCTGGGTGCCGACCTGGGGCCACAAGAACGGGCTGGGCCCCCAAGCATCCCCCTTGGCGGTCGTGGTCTCGGCCCGTGGGCCTCTAGGCCCAGCTCTCTGTCATGTGTACACGTGCGCCCTGCGCGCTCGCGCGCGCAAGAGTCACAGCGCTCAGCTCCTTCTCGATTTCTGCAGACCAGCGAGCTGCTTCGCAGTGGCTCTCGGCGAGTACGTGCGGTATGGCCGACGCAGGCAGCCTCAAGTGCGTCTCCCTGCTGTTTGAGACAGCCTCGTTGAGCTTCCTGCCCGCGTGCTCTGGCCTTTTCGTTGTCTTCTCAATGTTCTTCGGCCGCTTGGAATTCGACTGTTCCTCTGGCGGCGCTGGCGGGGCTACCTTGTGCGCCAGCTCCAGCAGCTGCATGAAGAATTCCCTCCTCGGCGACGCGCAGAAGAGAGTGGCGGGGCGACTGGGCGGCGTTCTGGGAAGGTGGAAGGCCTCTTGGGAGTGCTGACCGGTGTCCAAGAAGGGCTCCCGAAGGCAGGGAGGCTTTCAAGAGGCCAAGAGTTGGATGTCCCAAGACGGTGCAGTGACCTCAAATCCCCAAAGACATCAGTCACCGCACGGTTTGGGATCTTTGGGGTCCTCAGGCGATTGAGGCATCCGGGGGGAGTGAACTGAATGCCCAAACCGTCCGCTGATCTCAATAATCACCACCTCCAGTGGGCCCTCCCGAACACCAATCCGATGTGCTTCCCCAGATCCCTTGTTATCCATAGGGGAGGGAGGGAGGGAGGGAAGGAGGGAGGGAGGGGAGGGGAAAGGAGGGGAGGGGAGGGGAAGGGAGGGAGGGAGGGATCTCTCCGCCTCGCTCTTCCCGACTCCCTCCCGCCCGCTTTCCGTGCTCGGACATCGGCCCTTCTCAGATGCAACCTCACTCGTGCTCGGCGCCTTCCTGCACTCACCGCGCTCTTCCTGTTTCTCCTCCTTCGCACTTCAGCCTCAGTTCACAGTCTCCTCCACCTCCTCCACCTCCTCGCTCCTCCTGCTTCTCCTCCCTTCTCCTCCACCTCCTCGCTCCTCCTGTTTCTCCTCCATCGCACCTCCACCTCAGTCCACAGTCAGACTCACACGGCCACCGCGATGTGTAGGAAGCGTGGCACCTGGGAACCCCAAGCGGGAGCTGACCGCGGGTGCTGCACGGGCCCGTCCGCGCCCACCCTCCGAGGAGGTCTCGCACGGCTCGCTGCCTGGAGACGTAGAGGTGTCCGCTTCCGGGGCCTCGTGGCCCCCGCGATGCAGCAAGCACGGCATCTGGACACCAACCGGGGGAGCCGACCAACGGTGCTTCATGGTGCCCGTTCACGCCCAGGGGTCATGTTGTTCCGATCGTACGACAGGACCACATCCCAGAAGTAATTTCGAGCATCCGGAGAAGCGCCGAAAAAGTGTCGAAACAGTGTCGAGTGTCTCCCAGGGCCCGACACGTAACACCCCTCGAGTTTCGGTCTTTTTGTTGGTGCTCGAAATTGTTCCTGGTGATCTTCTGTTTTGGTGCTCGAAATTCTTCCTGGTGGTCGAGGCCAAAGTGGGCAGGAACATCATAAGCCCATGGGGCGTCTCCGGCGGCTCGCCTGCTTGGGGAGGGGCGGACGCGACGCGTCTGCTGCGGGCCTCGTGGTCCTCGCGGCTCAGCGCGCAAGACATCTGGACACCCTCCGCGGAGGCAGGCGAGCCCAGAATCGAAACGACAAGTCTTAGGTCGGGCATGTTCCCCTACAAGCGGAGTCTGGGCTTTTTCCCCATACATATATATATATATATAATAAATAAAAAACCCTAAACATACCCCAGCATAATCAGAACATGCTACAAAATGGCCCCCAGACTATGTCTTGACTATTTTGGTATATCCATCCTGTAGAGGGACAGGCTCGACTTCAGACAAGTCGGATCGGCGATCGAAATTCGGTGGCGCGGAAACATGGAGTAGCGATCCATGGACATGGCGCGCGGTCGCCAAATCCATGGATCGGGGCAGGTGCCCTCCCCGAAATTCGGCCGGTGCCGCCTCGCTCGGCGGCGGAGGTCCGCGATGTCCCATGGAAACGGGGCCCGTCCCTAATCCACGCCCCCTCGATCCATGTTTGCGATCGCCTGAGACATGCACGGGAGAGGTCGAATCGGCAGACATCGGCAGGGCAGCAGGGCCTGCGGTAAGGCATCGGCATCCGGATCGGAATCCGAAGTCGAATCGGATCGGAGCGGGAGACCATCGGAGCCGAACGGAGCCAACCCGGATGAGCCCCGCAGAGGGAGCCGACGCGGAGCGCGCGCGCCCCACCATCTGCCGTACAGCTGACCAGAGGCAGGCATCGGAGAGCAGAGGAGATCGGCGTCGAGAAGCACGGGGCGGGCCGAGCAGCGTGTGGCGGCAGAGAGCAACGAGAAGGAGGGCCACTCACACTCGGAGCTGCGAGAGCGCGGGCCCAATCATGCTCACCATGACACCCGGGCGCTCACAAACGAAACTGCCGCGATTTCCGCGTCGTACAGCCGCACCGCGAAACTCCGAACACCTGCCCCCTCCCCCGGGGTAATTATCCGTTCTGGGTTCCTGTGTGATGGTTCCTGGATTCATGCTTCCCCTCCCAGAACCGGCATCGAGCGAAGACGCGCGGACAAAAGAACGCCGCTTCGCCCTTGCTCCCGACGCAGATGCGCGTGCAGTGTATCCCGAAATCTTCCTGTAATCCCGTCGTTGTTTTGTTCCCCACCCCCCCCGCGTGCGACCGAACGGAACAAGGGTTAGGGGACTGAGGCAGAAAGTTGAAACGAGGAGGACGAAAAGGAGGAACCCATAATAACGTGATACAGAAACGTATCCTCGCATGACCCTCGTAGCGGTGCGATGGCGACAAAAGCGGGTTAAGGTAAGGGATGGCAGTGATGCCTCTAGTACGGGTGACGGTCTTGAGAGCCCTGTGCGCTGCGCAGGGCCCCTGCCACTCCCAAGAACTTGATGCCCACGGGTGGTGGGCGATTTGTTCACATCGGCCGAGCGACTTAGCCCAAATGGCAACAAACGATGGGCAGAGAAAGAGCATACACTTTCGCGTTGGCACACGGGGGCGTATTCTCGCATAGCCCTGGTCGCGGTGCGATGGCGGTATCAGCCCAGCAGGGGATGACGGTGATCTCCTTTACCTGCGGCAGTTCTGGGGGGACGACGATGGGGCCCAAGGGACATCAAGAAACCAAGACGGCGACAAGATACCCAACACGAGTGAGGCAATACACAGTGGGTCGCAACACTCTCCGAGATGGCGCAACGGTTTGGCAGAGCCCGAGATGCCCTCGGAAAGCCCCTTAAGGCCCCCAAGGAGGCGCGAAGTGGGCCGAAGGGGAGGAGCAATACCAAACATAACCCGAATCAAGAAATCATATTGGATGAGCAAGATCGGTCGGCACGAGCAAACGGAAAGACTCGGCATGGATGCGTGCATAAGCATAAACTGTCAGAGGTCTCCGCGGATATCTTGGGTCCAGGGCACACTTACCATGGCTCGCGGAGCGCGTCGGGTACGGCGCCTGAGACGTCGCGTGGGGAGGTCCAACGCCGACACGTGCAACCCGCGCGGACCTCCGAACATGTTACGCCTATGCATTTTGTAGCCCTTCGGGCGGAGGGGGCAGCCCCGTCAAAATGACTGCCATTAAGTGAGATCACGCGTTGCCTTATTTTCTTAAAGCTCGATCCCCGTGTATTTTGCCCTTGTGGAATTTACTTGTTCCTGATTCCATCGCGGCGCAAATCCAACGATCTGTTGATGAATGGACCCGCGCGGGTTGAATTCCATGGGCGTCAAGCGCACGACCTTACAGATCCCCAGAAGAGTATCCGAATCGGCCCCTCAGCCCCCCCCCCCGCCGATCAGACTGGGAGGAATAAACATGTAAAACTTTCGAAGGTCCGCGCGGATTTCTTGGATCCGCGCAGTGCCCCCCCCCCCTGTCGCGCGGAGCGCGCCTGGGGCGGCGCTGGAGGCGCGACGAGGAGGCCCCCGGGCTCCGAAGCAAAATACACGCGGAGCTCAGACAGCCTATGCTTGTAGAGCACAGTGTGGGCTCGACCGCAGGGAACTTTCCACAAGCAACCCAAGCCTGAGACCCCAGCACGTCCACTGATTCTTGGTGCGGGAACGTATCACGCTCTCCAGAGCCGAACCATCGAAACCCAAGAAACCCGAGGCACCCTGGAGGCAAGCAGGTGTTGCTTGGGATGCGGTCCTGGGGAGGCTAGAATCAGGTCCGGCGTGTCCCCCTTGCAGGCGGACTTTGGACGAACAACTAAAACTACTTGAAACATACCCCCCAAATGGTTAAAAAAATATTCAACCAATCGTCCCCGGACTATTTCTGCATTATTTTTGGACATTAAGACGACGCGAAGATCGGGACAAAATCGGATCGGGATAACTCGAAATCTCTGAGAATCGGCGGGTTTGGAGGATGTATTGGGCGCCGCGGCCGCTCCAGAGCGTTCCGGAACGCTCTGAGAGCGCTCCGGAACGCTCTGGAGCGATTTATCCCGATCCTAGCCCTGTTTTAGACATTCCTCCTGTAGAGGGACAGGCCCAACTCAAGGGCAGAAATCAAAGCGCGAGGCGCGCGCCCCCTTCTGCGCGCCGCCGCGGTCCCCTGCCCGGACGCCACGTCGATGCCCTGGCCGTCGGACGCCGGGGCCGGCAGGGGCAGCAGCTCCTCTGACTACCTACCAAACCACCCCTAATCCAACCCGAAGACCCCCAGTTCGGGGATGGACAGACCCCCCTTTAGTAAAACGTGGTTTAGTGAAAACGACCTGAGGCCCAAACCTGGCGGGCGCAAGCCTGAAAAATAACGGCCACGGCGCCATCTCGAGAACCGAAAACGGACAATTCACTAATCGACGTGTCACTGTTGGGGGTTCTGTCCACCCCCGACCAGTTCGGGTTGGGGAGGGGTACGGGTTCCACACGTGCTTTTTCAACGTTCCCCGACACCCGCCCCCACTGGACATGGAGGGGCAAATCGGGGCCTTCGGGTTGGGCTGGGGTGACTTGGTGGGCGGTGATCCTCGCGGTCGCTGGAGCTCAGGATGGGCACGAGGGCAGCCACCGCGGTCTCCGCCGCGATGCTCAGCTTCCCCGCGCGCTTGTGCACCGCCTCAGGAGGCCGCCGAGGGCCGCCGACGGCCCTCGCGAGCGCCGCCGCAGGACCCGCCCGACCGCGGACCCGAAGGTGGCGGGCGGTTGCGACGGTCCTCCTCCTCCTCCTCCTCCTCCTCCTCCTCCTCCTCCCTCTCCTCCTCCTCCTCCTCCTCCTACTCCTCCTCCTCCTCCTGTTCTTCCTCCTTCTGCTTCGTCTTAGTATTATGATTATTCCTTCTCCTCCACCTCCTCCTCTTCCTCCTCCCCTCCCCCCTCCTCCTCCTCCTCCTCCCTCCTCCTCCTCTCTCCTCCTCTTCCTCTCTCCTCCTCCCTCCTCTTCCTCCTCCTCCTCCTCCTCCTCCTCCTCCTCCTCCTCCTCCTCCTCCTCCTCATCGCAGGGTGGGCGCTTCCCCGAATCCTCCGAGCTCCGGTGGCTCTGATTCTCGTGCGTTTCCCGACTTCGTGCTTCGGGCTTCCGTCGCTGCCATCGGCGGCAGCGGCGGCGTGCAGTCGTGATGCTCGTTGCTCTGCTAGACACGTGCCTCCCTTCTGCAACGACGGCCACCACAAGGCCCGCTGGATTCGCCCTGGAATCCTGGCCAGGGGGCGACCTGGAAGAGCTGGCAGAGTCGGGAAGACGGAACGACGGCAACGACGACGACAACGACGACGACAACGACGACGACAACGACGACGACAACGACGACGACGACGAAGGCAACGAGGACAACGGTGACAGCGACGACGACGATCGACGACGACGGCCGCAGCCTTGCGGAGCAGCAGCATGCACTGGTGCTTTTTCGCCCTGGAGATCGTGGCCATGGCGTTTGAGGCCCGCCACTCCGTGGGCGCGGACTCTGGGCTGCGCTGCCTGCAGTTGATGCCACCGCACCTCGGGCACTGCAGCATGTCCACCCTGATGGTCGCCATGCAACCGCACTCAATCTCGTCCTCACGGTCAGACTTGTTTGGCTCGTCTCCGCTCCGGGCCCGCAGCCTGCTGCACTAGCTAGGGTCTGTGAGTGTGCCCGGGGCCTCGTGCTTCATTCAGCCTGATGGACTCTCGTTACGTGGTGTTCTCTGCGCCCGTCGCCCTCGTCGTAAGGCTACTGCTGAATTTCTCCCGAATTAGACATGCTGGCATCAGCGTAAGCATCATTACTCGAAGGCTCGCGCGGAACTCTTGTGTCGGCGCTGGGGACCCCTGGCACGCAGAGCACGCCAACGCGGGGACAACTTGCTCCAGCCCTGGAACCGCCAACTGAAGTCGTGGATGCGCTGGCCCCGGTCAGTGCAGCCCCTGGCCCTGCAGGCTCCTGAGCGATTTGGCGCTCAGACTGACCCCCGTTCTGCACCGACCCCCGTCCCGGGAGCCCCGACCAAGGGGAATGGTTCGGTCGGGCACGTCCCTACGGGCGGAAGATGGGGGAACGGTCAAACAATGCCCAGAAGTAGTCAAACCTAGTCGAAACATCGTCCCCAGACACTAGACTATTTTTGAATACTTCCCCTGTAGGGGGACACGCCCGACTTGGGGCCAGGGGGGGAATGGTCGAGGCCCCGGGGGCTGACGTCACGCTGCGATGGCGGTGCGGCCCGCGCTCCGGCCCTGAAACTGATGGGTGGACACGCAGTCCCCACACTGGACACATCGAGCGGCATCCTTTTTTTTTTCTTTACGCCCCAGACCTCAACCACAACCACAAGATAGCTTCCAACATCCCCTGCAACCCCCTCGGGCTGCATTGCCACTAAAATCGTGCAGTGTGCCCTGGGAACACTCGAGCTGTACGCCCGGCTCTGCGGCAGCTCGACCACAAGAAACCTGCCTCGAGAAGCCCAACCCTGAGATCCCCAGGCTGTCCATTGAGTTCTGGTGGGGGAGCGTCACGCACTCCCTGGCAAAGCCATCAAAACCCCGGGGACCAAGGCACCCTGGAGGCAAGCAGGGTGTCTCTTGGCAAACGTTTGCCCTGCAACAGTCGAGGCTCAGAATTAGGGGAACGAAGAAGGACATAAACAGAACAACTCGGAGTTCCGCGCGGATTTCTCGGATCGGCGCTGGACCCCCTTCACTGGCGCGCGGAGCACGCCAGGGGCGGCGCCGAAGGCGCCGCCAGGGGGGGAACCAAAAGGTACTGGTACCGCCACTCCCCGGATCTCTCCCAGGGTGCATTCTGATCAGGATCTCGAGGCGAATCCAGCGGTGACGACGAGGGCCTCCCAGGAGGCCCAAAAAAGCGGAAAACCGTTGAAGGGTAGAGGTATGGGCACCACCTTCTCCTCCTCGGAGTAGCAATCGAGGCTCAGAATCGCCCCCCGAGAACTGCAAGAATCCGCGAATGGAGAGGGCCGGGACCCAGACATCCGACGAGTGCGGCCTTTCCACCGCGCCTCCCCCCAATGGATTTAGGTCGGGCATGTCCCCCTACAGGCGAAGCTTGGAAGAAAACTCAAAATCAAAAATTGTCAAAAACATATATTCAAAAAATCGTCCCTGGACTATTGTTTGACTGTTCTGGAATGTTCCTCCCGTCGAGGAACGGGCCCGCCTTAACCCCAATGGGGGGCCCCTCGCCCGCCCCCCCAAGGGCGCAGCTCTCTTCCCAGGGCCGGGCCAGCGGCGGTACTGCTTCGCGGTGGTGCTGGGAGCCAGATTCGCAGGACATCGCCAACCACTGAGCATCGTTCCGCCGATGCACATCCCCACTGGCGTGGCCTGGGCCTCACTGGCTGGCCGATGTACCCCCGAGGTGGGGATGTCGGCGGTCCCCTTCGGGCCTCGAGGGGCATGTCCCCAGCTGGGCTGGTGGGATGGTGGGGATCGGGGTGGGGATGAGAATGGGGATGGGGTTAAGCTGGGCGTGTCCCCCTTCAGGGGGATTTTCGACGACCATGAGAAATACAAAAAAAAACTCCCTAATGGTCAACAATACTCAAACAAAATAGTTCCCAGACTATGTTTTGACTATTTTTGAATATCCCTCCTGTAGAGGGACAGGCCAGACTTAAGGATAGGGATCGGTTAAACGATGCTAAGCCACACTATTCCTGCATGTCCGCTCTGCAGCTGGAGCGAGCGAGCCCGGCGCAGCCAGTGGCAGGGCAGCGCAGGCCACGCGCTCCCACGCGGCCGCCACCCGCGCCGACGTGACCCACATCGCCGTCGGCCCGCCGACGGTCTTTGCCCCGAGATCCCCCATCCCTCAAGGGGCCCTGGGGCACACAAAGAAATAGACACAAATAAACGGATTCCCCAGATGTTCATACATTTTCTGGGTTTTCGTCTTCCCCCCACTTCCCATATTTTCGCATATTCTCTAAGGGGTCGACGATTACTTGTGTCTGTGTGTTTTTGTCCCTCCTGGACGGCCCAAGGCGCCCAGGCGGAGGACCAGCGCCGGCGGCGGAGCAAAGCCAGCGAGCGAACGAGCGAACGAACGCCACTGCAGCGACAGCTGTCCCAAGCTACGGGGATGGGCGTGTAGCGCCGCAGCGCTCTGTGCGAATTCTCGACGGAGCCTTCCTGTAGATGATGGGATGTAGTTGTCGCGAAGAGTGGTGCACCAATTCTCTGGCGGAACAACACGAAAGCTGTGTAAGACCCGGGGGATCGGGCGCGCGCCAGCACGGAGTGCAGTCGGAACTCGATCACGAAAAACCTCCCACTAAAAACCAAACCCTGGAACCCCAGTGCGTACGTTGATGCGTGGTGTGGACGTCACGCGCTACGCAGCAGAACCATCGAAACCCAAACCCAGGACACCCTTGAGGCAAGCATGGGTTCCCACTGTACAAATCTAAAACTACATCGGGCATGTCCTCGTAGGAGGCGTTTTTTTCCAACTTTCAATGTGGTGCTAGTTCCCAACCATCCTGTGGTGTTGGGTCTTCGCTTTGAAGAGACAGCGCCCCGCGTCACCTCTTTCCTCCTCCCGTTGCCTCCTCCCCTTCCTCCTCCGCACACCCATTTCGGCACACCCCTCACACGTTTCGTGGCCCCATAAGGAGCCCCACCGAAGGACCCAGTGGGTGTGCCCGCATGCGTCCCGCACACCCATTTCGGCACACCCTCACACGCTTCGTGGCCCCATACGGACCTCCACCGAAGGTCCCACTGGGTGTGCCCGCATGCGTCCCGCACACCCATGCCGGCACACCCCTCACACGTTTCGTGGCCCCATACGGAGCTCCACCGAAGGTCCCCGTGGGTGTGCCCGCATGCGTCCCGCACACCCATTTCGGCACACTCTTCACATAGTTCGTGGCCCTACAGGAAAATCCACCGAAGGTCCCAATGGGTGTGCCCGCAAACGTCCCGCACACCCATTTCGACACACCCTCACACGTTTCGTGGCCCCATACGGAGCTCCACCGAAGGTCCCACTGGGTGTGCCCGCGTGCGTCCCGCACACCCATTTCGACACACCCTCACACGCTTCGTGGCCCAATAGGGAGTTCCACCGAAAGTCCCAGTGGGTGTGCCTGCATGCGCCCCGCACACCCATTTCGGCACACCCCTCACACGTTTCGTGGCCCCATGGGAGCTCCACCGAAGGTCCCAGTGGGTGTGCCCCATACGGAGCTCCACCGAAGGTCCCAGTGGGTGTGCCCGCATGCGCCCCGGACACCAATTTCGGCACACCCTTCACATAGTTCGTGGCCCCATAGGGAGCTCCACCGAAGGTCCCAGTGGGTGTGCCCGCATGCGTCCCGCGCACCCATTTCGGCACACCCCTCACGCGCATCGTGGCCCCTATGGACGCCCAACCTCGCGCTTCCACGTTGTGCTTAGGGGGCTGCGCACTTTCTGTCCACCTTTTCGGACGGCCAGTTGCGTAGGCGAAAGCGATTCCTCGCACATCGACCTATGGCCAAGACATGGAGTACATGTGCAAAGTGTCACACTCACGAGTACAATGAGAAGATTGTCGCCAACTCGGGGAAGTGTGGAAAATGCAATTGTCCAGTGAAGTTGTTCAAGCCCAAGAAGGGAGTAGCATCGCAGTCCGCCCAACCAAGTTTGCAGAACACCAAGGGCTCGGTCGGGTCCCAGGCGACATCAGCCACGTCCACCATCCAGGCGTTGTCCGCCGCGATGGCCAGAGTGACCGACCCAGTGAGCAGACGGGTGCTAGCGGATCAGATTGAGGCTACCGAGCGCGGGACGCAGGCGGCGGATCATGCCCCAGCGGTCTCGCCAAGTGAAGCAGTTCGACGCGCTGAAGGCGCGTGGAAGGACGCTAAGCAGAAGCCGTGCAGGCGAGCGCAGCTGTCTTCCGCTGCAAGGAGAACCTCGCAGCAGCTGAGAGGAAGGAGGAGGAGGAGGCGGCTCGCGCGCTGGCGCTGGCGGAGATCAGCAAGCGCACGGCGGCAGTGGCCCTAGCCCGCGAGGCATGCGTCGGCGTGACCTCCGTGGGCGGCGCTGCAGGCGGGGGCGGCCTTCATGGTGGGGGAGCCGCAGACGCCGAGCAGCAGCCCATGATGAATGTGACATGGGATGAGGAGTTTTTCAAGCAGCTCGACACACTCGAGCGCACAGATGCCGAGCGAGACGAACTCAAAGGTCGAGGCCGAGCTGAAAGCCGTTAAGGAGAGCGCCATCAGCAAGGTCGACGAGGTGTTGAGGTGGAAGGCCCAGGTGCTCGACCTCAGCGCGAGGGTGAAGGAGCGCCTCGACAAGAAGAGGAAGATCGACGGCGGCGTCAACGGCGGCGCTGCGGGCTCAGGGGCTGGCGGCGGCAGCGGCTGCGGCAGCCGCGGGCAGGCGGCGGCGGCGGCGGCGGCGCCCGCGGCCCCCCAGGCCGCTGCGGCAGCCGCGGCGCCCGCGGCGGCGGCCACGAGCTCGCCTTCAGAGGACGAGATCAAGCAGGAGATGCAGCGCATCAGGGCGGCCTCCATGGCGGCCAAGGAGGCAGCCGAGGCGGTCGCAGGGGCTGCCCCAGGGGCGG